AAAAAAGGTTGGGATGAGTTTCGTTCAGTTCTTTCAGTTTTTTTATACAGCCCAATCAATGTGAGGAGTGCAACACAACACCCTAGAAGAGAACAAATTACATACTCTGAGCTTGTCCTCTTTATCCAGGATGGAAGATTTCCCCACTGCACCTTCAGCTGCACGGCTGGTTTCCTCGCCATCTGGCCCGTGGTAGCCCTGCCTTCTATCCTGTAGTCCCGGCACTCCTTGCCCCATCTCAGCCTGGCCTTTACCAAACAGGGAAACAGTCACACGCATTTCTGACTTGAAATCACAGCACAACTTAATGCCATTTGAAAATTTAAATGTTCCTGCCTTCCTGAAACTTCAGAATAATCTCTGCTGCCCCTAAGTCTTTCCCTCTAAACATCCTCATGGAGAAATTTTGACTACATCTGGAAAAATGTGAGGCTAAGTAGAAAATGACGTTCCTGAGGCTGTGCTAAGCTACATGAAGATGTTCCTTCTCCAAAGCAGCCACTGAAACATTGTAGCTAAGCGCAAAACTGACAGAATCCCAGAAAAGCAAACTGGTATTGAAACAAATAATGAAGAAATAATAAAGCAGTCAATTTTTAAATTTTCTTCAAAATTTTACATCATATTTTGATGCAGCTTCAAAGCATACTTACTTAGAAAGTTTTTTTTTTATAATTTGAAAGGACGGGAAAGAGATATGTGCAATGTTTGAAATTTTATGAACATCTTGTGAAACATATTTTAAAATATGTATGTTTCCCTGTTTGATTATGCTAATCAGCAGGTGCTATATCATTATTCAAAAAATTCTGGGCTTTCTAGAGCTCTCGCTGGCAAAGCTGACTGCGTGCTTACCTGTGCTTTCAGAGGCAGTATTACAGCATCAGCACATGCTTTCCAACTGGTTTCAGCCAGCTGAACCACAACTAGTTGCACATCAACTTTGGCAGCATCAGAACGAACATATGCTGTAGCTTGATAACCTTGATTTCTGTTGTCACTCCTTACTGCCTGTGCCACAATCGTAATGCCAGGTGGAATAACTTCTCCCAGGAAGTTGCGCTGAAAAACAACCCCCAACCATCTGTGCTTAAGTATTTCTCAGTATTCGCTTGGGAACCTACTGTCCAGTTAGGCTACAGTGATAGCAGGGAGCATTCCTCATCTTTAATCATCCTGGTTTGTTGCATATATTTCCATACCCCGAATATTTTATAATAAATCTGATTAGAATCTTAATTATTTCGTTACAGTTTTCAAAGACGTGATTGTTTGGATGCAGATTTCAAGATTTTTCTGAGCTATCTCTATGCACTTTTAAAGATTTTGTTTGTTATTGTAATATTGGAAACATATATCTATGATAGATTGCAGATATCTTCAGTTCATTCACAACATAGTGACAGACTTTTCAAGACAACTAATTGTTTTGGAATCCTTCTAACTCATTGAGTCTTCTTACACATTGACTGTATTTGCAGGGCTATTTGTTCTATTATTATGTAGACCTACATTAACTTAGTACAATTAAGTGCATACCAAAGATAAGGATGATCAGTGCTTAACAGGGGTTTATATATTGCAACCAGTAATAAGCATGAAGATTCTCATTTTAGTTACACTCTACATGCTCTCATGACCTGGTCTACTGTATTTTAAAATAATTTGGAGAATTTAAGCTTAAAAAAAAAAGTTTA